GTTCACTGCAGGCCATGATGTGTGGAGCATCCAGAACCATCCTGAGCTGTCCTGTGTCACCAGGTGGAGACGCCTCCATCATCCCCATGACCCACGGCCCGCCTCCGCCCTGCCCCCCGGTCACACCTGGACAGGTGCTCCATGACGGAGGAGGAGACCTGAAAAGAAAAGCTGAGGAGCCCAGTGGAGCTCAGAACCCAAAGCTGCCCCGTCTGGAGGGAACCGAGCCCCAACAAGAGGACAGAGGAGACACAGAACCGCCTGACCCGACTGTAGCCAGAGGTTTTACAGACAGAACAGCCGAAACTGTGTCACAAGCAGATCTGGGTCAGACCGCCAGTTCTGGCCCGGATCCTCCGGTCCCAGACATTCACAGAACCGGGGCCAAGTGTGTCCCGGGTGGCCCGGCCGACCCCCAGCGCCCCGGGGTGGGCTACCACAGCACCGGGGTTCTGCGGCTGAAGCCGGGCCGAGGAGAACCGACGCTGTCCCTGTCCTGCAGCGATAAACTGGCCCGCTGGGGGGTTCTGGGCTTTCAGGGCGCTCTGCTGTCCCACTACCTCCAGGAGGCGCTCTGCTTCAGCGCCGTGGTGGTGGGCCGGTGTCCGTACAGCGCCGAGGCCATGCACAGAGCTCTGGTCGCGAGGTGAGCACCTCCAGCTGCTGCTGGGTTTTACTCCTGACAGAACATCCTCAGACCACAGGTCCAGTCCTCCTTACATCTGGTCCTGTACTCTCAGGTGCTGCCAGGTATCGGACCTCCCAGCCGGTTTCTCTGTCCGTCCACCGGTTCTGCTCCAGTCCGGCCTGGAGTTTCCCTTCAGCCAGGCCCAAGCCGAGCTCCAGCACCGGGCCGGACAGGGACGCGTCTCCCCCTGTGGGGCAGGTAGGACCATCAGAACCATCTCAGAACATCTGAATAAACTAACGTATAGACATTGTTCACTGTGAAAACGTTCAGGTGCAGTCAGATGAAGGTCAGTGTTCTGGAGCTCTGATCCCTGAACTGTCTCATCCCGACTAGAAGCCCGACTTTAAAGTCATCCAGAGAAAACAGAACCAGCAGGTTTAAAGTCTTCTTGGGTTTAAACCTGAATAAAACCGCTGGTAGATCTGTGCATGTTGGTAGCAGCATCTGAATGTCTGAGCGTCTGCAGGGTTCCTCCTGAGATCCCAGAGCAGCTGAAGAACATGAAGCGTTACGGTTCTGCTTACTGTGTGTTTCAGCCATCAGCTGGTGTAACGTGACGGAGCAGCCACTAGATGTCACCGCTAACGGCTACAAACACGGAGTCACCAGGAAGGCCCTGGGAACTCCTAAAGCCAGGTAGAGCCCAAACACCCCCATGCTTCCTGAACACGACCAGAACACCCCCATGCTTCCTGAACACGACCAGAACCCCCCCATGCTTCCTGAACACGACCAGAACCCCCCCATGCTTCCTGAACACGACCAGAACCCCCCTCTGTTCGCTGTGTCAGAGACGTTTTGGTGTCTCTGTGTGTTTCCAGGTCTCTTCTGTGTAAGCTGGAGCTGTTCCGGTCCTTCCTGTCTCTGGTTTCGGCCACCGACCCGTCAGCGCTGCCCGACTCTCTCAGGTAACCAACAAAAGGCTCTTTCATACGGTGGCCGTGGTGGTGAACCGCCTCAGACTGCTTCAGGAACAGCCTCCAACACACTCAGACGACACAGTGTCAGTAAAGCTCCTCAGGTCCACATGCAGCGTTCGTGTCGGCGTCCTTTAAACTCACCAGTCATTAAACGAGGCCGCCTTTGAGGGAGCAGTCCATTCATACCTGAAACACTACTCTGTCTTATTTAAGTGTGACACTTCTGCAGGCTTTGTGTTTGACCTTCTGCTGCTTTGTCATCAGCTCACATCTATTGTGTTGAAGTCGAACACGTAGCGTCCTGACAGGTGTCGAGTGTCGCACAGCTGAGATTACACAACTAACTGTGTCAGTGTGAGTCGAGGGCTGGAGCTGTGTGTTGTCTCTGATTGAACAGAAGAGTTAAAAACAACAAGCTGCTCGACAAACGATCAGAGCAAAGAGAAGCTCGTATAAAACCGTTTGCTTCATGTTCAGAATCTGAAGGTTCAGGATCAGAAAACATCAAAATGTAAACATGAAGAGAAAAGTATCAGCAGAAAATAGAAATATCAGCACACAGTGTGATAAACAAATAATAATAGATTTATCACCTGAAAAGCCTTAAAAAGGTGTGAAAACAGGCCTTGATACAGTCTGCCACGGTTACTTTGAAGAGGTTTATATCTGGTCTGCTTCCAGGTGGACTTTCAGGTTTTAAATGTTCCTCCAGACCTCCACGTCTCAGATGAACTCGTGTTTGTTTATGGAAATTAACAGACATTATTAATTAATCTGGCACAAAACGATCTGTGATGAAATGTGAAGAAATAGACCAAAAATGATGTTTTTAAACGTCTTCCTGATTATTAGTTATTAATGTGAACCATCAGTCAATAAGGCTTCGACTAACAATCTGGAGATTATTTTCTGGATGAAGGCTGCAGGTGTCTCGGTGGTTAGCANGTGCTGCTGACGCTCTGTGTGTGTGTGTGTGTGTGTGTGTGTGTGTGTGTGTGTGTGTGCAGGTATCTGCTGCAGCAGCTGCGGGAGGCCGTGGGCGGTCGCAGCAGCTCGCTGTTCCGTCCTGCAGACCAGAGGGGGAAGTGGAGGCTGCAGCCGGGGGTCTCCTTCGTCTTCTTCACCAGCCACACTCCCTGTGAGTCCCGCCAGCTCCCTGGTCACAGAGTCGGGTCATTCTGCCACTTGAGGTGGCTCAAAGTGTACGTGGAGCCCTGGTTGGTCTGTATCAGGTCAGAGTGGTGATAAACCAGCTGCTCTCTGTGGAGCCAGCAGATGATTCTACATTTAACTCACGGGGTTCACATGCGTCCACCAGGTGAGGGTTAGCAGGACCGTCAGTAGTTTCAAACCACTTCTTGGGTCGCACATCAGTCGCTGACTAGAAGCTTCTCAGAGCACCGCTGACGAGCCAACATCTGCTGTGAGGCGTTCAGGAAACATCTGTAAATAAAGTAAAGGGTCTGCTGATGAAACATGTTGAGCAATGAGGGGATATTTATGTTCTGTTCAGTCCATGGTCTGAGTCTTATTTACTACAGCTTTGTACATTAGCCACACGTAGCTCCTCANTTTTAGATTATTATATATATGATGTATAATATATATTTATATTTTATAATTATAATTTTGGATGCCCACGTTATTTAGGTTGACGTGTGAGTTAATGGGGCCGGGTGCTATGCCCACCGGGTGGTAGGCAGGAGAGGGCGTCCTGATATACTGCCCCCTGGTGGCGTAGACTAGATTTGGGGACATGGTTTAAGGTTGCTCATAAGTGTACTTGGTACCAGAGTAACTAAGGCCAAAGGTTGATGATCAACTTTGTAGTCGTATCATCAGACCTGCGGCCGTATGTTTTGGACACTCTGGGTGAAGAGAGGAGCAGAGCTGTCAACTGATCACCACCTGGTGGTGAGTTGGATCCGATGGCGGGGAATTCTGCCGGACAGACCTGGTAAACCCAAACGCGTAGTGAGGGTGAACTAGGAACATCTGGCAGAGGCCCCTGTCCGTGGCGTTTTCAACTCCCACCTCCAGAAGAGTTTCTCCTGCATCCCGGGGGAGGTTAAGGACATGGAGTCAGAGTGGTCCATGTTCAAAGCCTCCATTGCAGAAGCGGTCGTTAGGAGCTGTGGCCAGAAGGTCACTGGTACCTGTCACGGCGGCAATCCCAAAACCCGCTGGTGGACACCGGCGGTGAGGGAAGCCGTCTGGCTGAAGAAGGAGACCTTTCGGGCCTGGTTGGCTCAGGGGTCTCCTAAAGCAGCCGGCAGGTACCGGCTGGCCAAAAGGGCTGCAGCTGCAGCGGTTGTGGAAGGTAAAACTCGGGTGTGGGAGGAGTTTGGGGAGGCTATGGAGAAGGACTTTCCGAAGAAGTTCTGGCAAACCGTCCGATGCCTCAAAAAGGGGAGGCAGGGATTCTCCCAGGCTGTGTACAGTCGGGGAGGAGAACTGCTGACCCAGACTGGGGACCTCGTCGAGCGGTGGAAGGAGCACTTCGAGGAACTCCTGAACCTGGTAAACATGTCCTCTGATGAAGGGGCAGAGCCTGAAGACTCGGGGGCTTCTACATCCATATCCGTGGTAGAGGTCACCGAGGTAGTTAAGAAGCTCCTCGGTGGCAAAGCGCCAGGTGTGGACGAGATTCGCCCTGAGATGCTGAAGGCTCTGGACATTGTCNTGTTTTGTTTTTTATTTGTAAATAATGTCTTTTTACGAGCCACTTCCTGTTTAATGGCGAGCTGCTGCGGCGTGCATGTTGGGTGGAAATGCACTCTGGTGGAGCACGTTTATAAAGTTTCAGGCAGGTTGGATGCATACAGGCCAGTTACACAGCCCGTCTCGTTTTATGGTGCCGTGTTTTTTTCAAAATGGCGGACTTCCTGTTGGGTCTGGGGCTTGGCGCTAATTGACTTTTTTGTGCATCGTGAGATGCTACATATGCCCACTGAATTTTGTAGGTCTATGTGAAACAGCCTTTTGACAGGAGTCCATTGAATGCCGGAAACAGCGAAAATGTGCAAAATGGCCTTTCATTGAAATTGCACCGGCTGCCATTTCCACGCCGTCAGAATTTTGTGGAAGATTTTTAATAACTTTTAGTCACCACGTCCTGTAGTTTGTGCCAAATCTCAGGTGTGCAGACATAGCTCCTAGGAGAAGAAATGGTGGATTTCCTGTTGGGTTTACAGAAACACGCTGATGGACTTTTTTGTTCGTCCTGACCTCCTCCATATGCCGACCAAATTTCGTAGCTCGCGGCTAAACGTGCTTCCGATGGGACTCTGTTGAAATTTTGCAAGGTGGCGCTGTGGAGCCATTTTGGAAGTGACATGCCCAATTCCTTTCAAATATTACATTTTTCGCCAGTCCTGGTGTGTGTGACAATTTTGATGAGTTTTTGGGCATGTTTAGGCCCTCAAAATCGCGTTCGTTTGGGACGAAATAATAATAATAAATATCCCCATCCTCCATCCTTCCCCGTCCTCCGTCCTTCCCCGTCCTCCGTCCCATCCCCATCCTCCATCCTTCCCCATCCTGCCGTTTCTCTTCAGGTCGGAGCTGCAGACCTACTGGGACTACAAGCAGGCGTCCCAGTGTTACCAGCAGGCCCAGCAGCAGCTGCTCAGCCAGGCCTTCCCTCTGTGGCCTCGCGGCGACAGGAAGCTGCTCCTCTTCCACTGACGCCGCCTCGGCCTCCGTCCATGGAAAGCCGTCTTTGTAGCAGCAGGAGCTGGGAGGTCGCAGGTCGACACCGCCGCCGACCTGCAAGTATCGTTTTCAGGAATGTCCCATTTTTAATAAAACTACAAACTTGACTCGTGTCCAGAGTTGGTTTCTTGCTTCGGGCCTGTTGAGAAACTGTTCAAAGAGGTTTTCATTGTCTCAGAGTGTGTGAAGGACTCCAGCTGCAGGACTTGAGGTTGTCGAGGAGATTTAATCGTTTAATAAACGATAAAGGCGATGCTGAACTCTCAACCTGCTCCGGAGCAACTTATGTTCCCGATAATGGATCAAAACGGATTAAAAAGTCACGTTCTGACCCTTTAGTTCTCAGACTTTTAATCCCACAGAGCTCAACAAAAATATATATTTTTATTTTAGAGCTGCAGTTTTAAAGCCACTTCAGTGTTTTATATAATATTAATATAATAACAAAGACTGATGAAGCCAACTCAGCAGATTGAATGGTGTCTTTATATTTGTTCTGTACTTTAAAACTGGATTGAAGAACAAATTCAGCGTCCACATCACTTTGAAAAAACATCTGAACTACTTTAGTATTTATTCTTCACAGCAGCATAAAGGAACAACTTCTGTATTTTCATTATACGCTCTTGTGCTGCATAAGAAACCCACAAAATTCAACTTTTCTCTGATCGTGTCTCATATAAACCTGTTGATAACATGTCGACACATCTGGCAGGTTTGTTTCCTGGGTTTGGCTGCAGCAGCTGTGTTGCTTTAAGCCTGAATTATCTTTTAAAACTCCTCGTATTTGTTCTTCTTGTAAGAAATGTGCAGCTTTAAACCGTGTTTGTTGATCTGTGGGAACTTTATTTTGGAAAACTAAAGGAAATCCTGTTTGTTGCTTCATCATCCAGGCTTCTGCTGGTGTTTGGTTCTGATAATGACACATTTGAACAGAACCTGTCAGAACCACTCACCGCCTTGATGTCAGTAATCCACTTGTTCAGCCATGTTGGTTCAACGTTTCATCGACCTGCAGCTTCGAGGCCTGAACGCTGCGTTGTCGTCGAGTTGTGTTGATCTCTTTACTTTCCGTCTCTCAGGTAATTAACACAGAAAACCTGCTGAACGGTCGTGTTATTTATCTGAACTATAAGGCTGCAAACAGCATTTGTTTTTATTTTTAATCCATCTTAGAATTATTTTTTTTGGCAGAAAATAATGAAAAATGCTCATTTTTATTCCCTGAATTCAAACTGATATATTCAGATGTCTCACTTTGTCAAAAACACAAGAAATGTCAGTTTACTGTCATAGAAAACGTGTAAAACCAGCAAATATTCACAATTAAGACACTAATGAGTCATCAGAATATTGAATTCTGTCTCCAGAGAGACTTCATTTTTCCGTATCTGGGTGTGAATCGTTCTGTTTTATTATATTTTCTTCTTCCTTTAAGTAATTAACAACGAAAGTTCAGTCAGAAGTTATATTATTTCATCATATCTGAACTATAAGACTGCAAACAACAATTATTTTTATTTCTAATGCGTCTGACAATTATTTTATGGCATATATTTATTTTTTTCCCTGTGTTTAAGCTAATGTATTTAAATGTCCTACTTTGTCTGAGTCATGTTAAAAAACACAAGAAATGTTTTTCATCCATCCAATGGTAATAAATTAGCAAATATTTAGGATGAAGAAGTTTACTGGCTGAAAACGTTGATTGAACAGGTAATTAGAGTAATGAATCCGGTTTAAACATAAACTCATCAGATGATCATGTCGAGGTTGTTCAACCTCAGTCGAGTTACGTTTGATCAGATTTTTTGCCCCTTTGAGTGATTAGCACAGAAAATTCTGTGAAAGTCTGCAAACAACAATAATTCTTGGTATTTTTCATGCATCTGACAGTTTTTTGTTTTTGTTTTTTGGCTGAAAACGGTGAAAAATGCTCATTTTCATTCCTTGAGTTCAGGGAAATGTATTCAGGTGTCTTATTTTATCTAATGAACAGTAAAACATATTAAGTTTATCATCAGAATATGTAGGAAGCGAGCAAAGATTAACAATTAAGACGCTTTTTTTGCTTAAAGTGACTGAAACAGTTGATCAGTGGTCAGATTATTGAGTTGTGTCTCCAGAGGAACACTCCTGGTGTCACTGGGATCCAACATGAGTTAATCTGCTCCGTCTGGACACTAATTCACTGGTGAACAATAAGAAGTGAGCTGCATGTTTCTGGACAACAGTCGGTCCTTCATCACTCACAATGAATCAGTGGAGTCGCAGCTCCAGCTCAGCAGATTCCTCCTGATTCCTGTCAGCTCGCTGCAGATTAGGACCTGGATGCTTCGGATTCTACACGTAATGTCATCGCTGACAGGTTCTGAGGTCTGGTTCTGGTTCATTTCTAGATGGTATTTGTCACCAAACAGCGTACGTCAGTCAGAAGAGCTTCGTTCTGCAGCGTTTACATCGTTTACCTGCTCAGTGTCCTCGTCTGTGCAGGACGCAAGAAGCAAAGCATGGAATCAAAAGTGTAACTCATTTGTAAAAACAAAAATGAAATATTAATGATGTTTGTTTTTAATAAAGCAGAAACTCGACACAGTCCGTTTTACATTCGTTTTATTGGTCAGGTCTTCCAGCTACCTTCCCCTTTTTCAAATATCTAAAACTCCTTTATGTCTGCAGGATATATTTAACGATAATACGACACGGATGAAACAAGACGCTCCCGGACACCATCGCATTCCATCGATACATCACACGTCTACAGAGCATGTTGGGTCAGGCTCGCCGTGCACGAACAGGACGCTGTAGCGGGTCGAGGCAAAGGGCGGGAACACAGCGGACGTCGAGCTCCGGTTCGGCACCGATAAACCACAGCGGCAGCCAAAACAGCCTCAGACTCGGCCGAGCGAAGAGAGCGAAGGTCTGCGAAGAGCCGAGCAACGCTTTACGGGAAGGAAACCAAGGATTCCTGAACGTTTATTCATTAACGAGAGCGAAGAACGCTGCTCCTGAACAACGCCTTCCATCCACAGTGTTCATCGACGAGCGGTTTTAATCATTAAAATCTGAACAAGATCAGAAAATCTCCTGACCAGCGATGGAGGAAGTGCTTCGATCCCCGAGGAACATCAGCAGTACTTTGGTGTAGAAATACTGCATCTCACATCCAAGTACCAGAGAAGTTATAATAATAATACTTGTTGTTTGAAAGAAAAGTTAAATGTGTATTTCCCTGTTTTGTTAAATGTCAGATAATAACCAGTAAAAGCATAAAAAAAGAGTAAATTTACATGTTACCTATAAAAATAAAACCCGACCAAAACTGTAAATAATGTTCACGTCAAAGATCGATGGAATTACAAAAAGCAGTTCATGTTTTTAAAGGAATTAAAAATATCTTTCATTTACACATTTGCTGCTATTTTTACAGTTTTTTAATGTTTGCTGCCAGATTTTTTGAGGAATCTTGTTTTTTAACAGTTTATGCCAAAGTACAGGCAGTGATGCTCACAAGCACCGGGTGCAGGCTTCCTGGAGTCGGCCAATCAGACGAAAGCAGGCTTTAAAGAGACAGTTATCAAAATAACTCCCTAGAAATGGACATGTTACACATTTATGTTTAATTATTTGTTCTACTGCTCAAGCCCTGAAAACGTCATGCTTCTGGAGTTCTAAGGCTAAAAAATGCTAAAGCTAACTAACAAGTGCACACCTGTGTGCTTCAGTCAATCTGAAGGTGAAACGTTGCTTCCTTCAGGTAAAGTGTTGCTTTGCTCTCGAGTCTGAATCCTGGTTCAGTGCTGACGTCTGTTCAGCCAAAGTAATGTGCAAATGCAGCGTCCAGCGTTCCTCCACCTCCACCTCCACCTGGACCGGAGCAGCGTTACATACTGAAGGGTTCATACATGACATAGGATGAGGTTAATGCTTCTAGTCACATGATTACAGCGTTTCTGTCTCAACACAAACATCTGTGACGACAGAGGAAATGAATCTGTAGTGTGTGTGTCTACCTGTGGAGGACTAACCATGTGCCTGTGATGCGTGTTGACTGTTACTCTGGTTTACGGCAGTGTTAAAGATGTTTTCTCTCCACAACTGACCTTAAAACAGCAACCAGGACGAAAAGGCCGACGAGCCTGAAGGTAATCTGTCAAAAAAGTTTGTCTGTTGTCGCGTTTTTTGTTAATTTTCAGCATAAATGTGTGTTTTTCAGTATCAAAAATCGACCATGAATGAAGGTGCCGAATGTGTGGGTGCTTGTGTCTGAAGCTCTGAGCACCAGCATGTGTGCGTCGGTGTTAATCCTGTGCTGTCTGCTGTCGCCCGAAGGTGTTCTCTCCGCTGTAGGCCACGTACAGAAAGCCGTCCTCGTCCTTCTCCTTGTCGTACAGCTGCCCCATCGTCAGGCTGCAACACAGCACAGAGCAGACGCTGATCAGTCCATCACCGTGGTGGACGTTTGAACTGAACAGAAACATCCATTGAAATGCATTAAAGTCAAGGAATGCTGCAGATGCACAAACCAAAGGCCCAAACCTGCTGTAAAAAGGCTTCGTCCACCAGAAACAAGTCTTTAAAGTGTCAAATACATGAGGCTTCTGCTTTATGTCCTCTCCTGTCTGTTCATGTCCGTTTGCATCTGTTTCTGTCAGGAAGTCTCTTCATATTTAGATGGTTTTTGTAATTTTGTCTTAAATTTGCCTCCAGATGTGAATAAGCTGCAAACTTTGATTAAACTAACGCTGCTTTAACCGTTTAGAAGTTCTACCAATTTTATAGGTTGAAGGCAATTTAACAAACGAACATGGATCTTTTATTAAGTCTGCAACATACACATGCATTATAATTCAAGACACGCTGCAGATACACAGACAACAAACATTTCAGACTAAAGTCCTAAAGTGTCAAATACTCGAGTTTTGGATGCCCNAGCCGAGTGTGAAGGGGATGCGGATCAGTACCTCCAACTCCGAGGCCATGGTCCTCTGGTGGATTGCCACCTCCAGGTGGGGGGGGGAGTTGCTTTCTCAAGCGATGGAGTTTAAGTATCTCGGGATGTTGTTCACGAGTGATGGGAAAATGGAGCACGAGATGGACAGGCGGCTCGGTGCGGCGTCAGCAGTAATGTGGGTGCTGTACCGGACCGTCGTGGTGAAGACAGAGCTGAACCACAAGGCGAAGCTCTTGATTTACCAGTCCATCTATGTCCCAACCCTCACCTATGGTCACGAGCTTTGGGTCGTGACCAAAAGAACGAGATCACGGATACAAGTGGCTAAAATGAGCTTCCTCTGCAGGGTGTCTGGGCTCAGCCTTAGAGATAGGGTGAGGAGCTCAGACATCCGGAGGGAGCTCGGAGTAGAGCCGCTGCTCCGTCACGTCGAAAGGAGCCAGTTGAGGTGGTTTGGACATCTGATTCAAATGCCTCCGGGGAGGCTTCCTCTGGAGGTCTTCCAAACACGTCCACCTGGGAGGAGACCCCGGGGCAGACCCAGAACCTGCTGGAGGGATTATATCTCTCGGCTGGTCTGGGAACGCCTCGGGATCCCCCAGGCAGAGCTGGAAAGCGTCGCCGCAACCCGACCTTGGATAAGTGGAAGAAAATGGATGGATGGATGGATGGATGGATGGATGGATGGATGGATGGATGGATGGTGTGAATTAATACTTTCTGTTGGTGATTTTTCTTGATATCGTTAATTATTTCCACTGTGAATTAATCTGTGGATTATTTTCTCACTTTAATTTGTCGTTTGGTCTCTAAATGTGCATCAGTGTTCAATGTTAAACAATAGTTTAACATTTTCAGTCCAGTGTAAGCATTTATTAAAAGTTAATTCAGATATCTGTAAAACAGCAACATTATTGGGTGCTTTAAATCCAGTAAATCAGTTTATTTATGTAGTCACACACATTTGTATAAACACAGATGTTTGATGTCAGTATTATGTACAGGTACAGCCTGTTTTTACATTTTATTATCCATAGTTAAATGAAAAAAAAAAGTATTTAATACACAAAATGTTCCTTTTTACACAGTTGCAAGTGACTTAAATATGGTACAAAATAATGAACTTTTACTGTATTATATAGTTTATATAATTACAGGTTTTTGATGTGCTGATTTAGTTTTACAGTTAGGTGTAAATTACTGCGGTTTGTCTGTGATTTTTATTATCTCTGATTTACCAAAACAGGAAAAACCTCCAGAACAACACGAACAGTTTAAAATGTGGGTTTTTACAGTGTGTGCTGCTGCTGCTGAGAATCCTGTCCTCGAGGGAAACACTGGTCCTTCTGTTCATCAGCGTTCAGCAGATAACCTGATCCCACACACACACACACACACACACACACTCACACTCACACACACACTCACACTCACACACACACACACACACACACACTCACCGGTGGACACTGATCCGTCCGACTCCAGCTCACAATGACCAGATTCTGTCCGTGACAATAGTGAAGGGAGGCGACTGTTGTCGTCGCCGTCTGCAGTTCAGGGAAGCTGAAATAAATCTTGGGCCCGTTCTGTGAAGCAGCTGCTCCGGTGACAGGATTCTGAGTTTTTACGTCTTTTCACAGAAATGCTACCTGCATTTCTAAAACCCACTAGTCCAGGTGTAGCTGCAGGTCTGATGGGACCTCAGGTGGAGGCAGTGGTCACATCTCAGCAGGTGGGACTGATGCTCAGGTCCGGTCTCTGCTGTCTGCTGCCAACTCCAACAAGCAGAAGATAGCAGCTACAGGTGGCAGCAGCAGCTCGGACGTGGAAGGAAAAGGAAAGCTGTGGTTCACCACGAAGCATCAGACTCATTGAGTTTAACCCCAAAACCTGCCAGCAGGGCTGAAAAAGTCTAAAAAAATAAAGAGAGTTACGCAATGATTAGAGACAGAAACCGTCCAAACTAAATGTGTTCACGCAGAGTTCTACATGATGAAAGTCACTTCATCATACGAGCTTCATCTAAAACTCACCAACAATCCAGCAGTCGCTCTGAGTCCTGGAAATAGAAACAAGTTTAAATCGCAGTCCTCAGTGGACCTGAAAGGACACGACTGAGTCTGAAAGAGATTAAAAGTGTCACAAGCATCAGAACATGAACTGGAGCAGCCATTACTGGATTTATAGGCTCAGAACATAAAGAAAACCCAACAGGAACGTTTTACTGTGAACATGTTCATGGAAACACAA